CTGTCCCCGAGGCCCCGGTCAGCACCCCGTCTGCTTTCAGAGAGTGCTGGCCATCCGGCAGGTGCTCAGGTCCCAGCGGATCAGCTTCTTCCTGCGCGGCGGGCTCCGTGTCCTGGTGGCCCTGCGGGACACGGACACAGGTGAGGGGGAGCCCGGCTGCAGGGTGGACGTGTGGCAGGCCCCTCGACGCACAGCCCCGCGGGACCTCCAGGCACTGCCCCCTCACTGCCCAGGTGCCTCCTGGCCAGATGGCAGGGGCCAGACCCGCGGCCACCTGTCCGTGTGGGATCCCACGTGGGGTGCACCTTCCAGTCACACGGCCGTCTGGGGTCTCCGGGCACTGCCCCTCCCCCACCAGGGACTCTCCCAGCACCTCTGCCCTTTGATCCTGGGTAGGACTCTCTGCGGAAGCACAGGGCTCCTGCTGGAGGAAGACCCATGCGGCCGGTCTGCCCACAGAGCAGAGGGCCTGTCCGCTCCCACTCGCGCAGGTCCCCGGCCCGTATCGTGTCCACCGTTGGCCCAGGAGAGTGGCAGCCCCCACAGCCACACAGAGAGAGCCCCTTGGCCTTTAGGACTTGCCCACCTCCCCTCAGACAGGGACTCCTCCGGCCTCCACCCCTCGTGGCACTGCCCCTTGTATTACACAGAAGTGATGGGGTTTAAGACCCGGGCTGCTGCAGTAGGACCTTGTTAACCTGCAGAGAAAAGCCTGCTTCCAAACAGGATGGCACCCACCTGTTGTGGGGCACACAGGTCAACCTCTCGGCCCCACTGACAGATGCTTGGTCCGCAGGCTCCCAGCGGCTGGGCGGTGGCGGCGGCTACTGGGCGGTGGTGGTCCTCTTTGTCGTGGGGCTCTTCGCCGTGGGAGTGTTCATCCTCTACAAGTTCAAAAGGCAAGGCCGCGGCAGGTGCCCTTGGGCAGGTCTGGGAGGGCTTCGTGGAGGCAGTGGCTGGGAGGGTGGCTGTATGAGTGTTTGCCCTGGGTCAGGCAGGTCCAGGAGGGCTTCCTGGAGATGGTGGCTGGGAGGGTAGCTGTATGCTTGCCCTGTGGGGGCTGCAGGGGTGGGCATGCTCCTCCAGTTGCCCTCCCCGCTCTGCATGGGTGCAGGTCCCAAGACAGAGCGGACTGCTGGGATCTCCACTCAAACCTTGCCTCTTCCAGGAAGCCCTCCGGGACTCTCTGACTAGCTCAGCTCTCCCTGTCACACAGCCTGGAGCAACCACATCCCCTCAGTTGGAACTGGACATGAGGCAGGCCCGGGCTGCTGACTGCGGCCCCAGGGCAGGGCTACGTGTGCCTCGTCAGCCTGGCCCTGGCTCCCGGAGCAGTCTGGGGCATCGACACCACCACCAAAAGGCCGAGAGTAGGCCAGCCAGCCACAGGGGTCGGAGGAGGGGTGGTAGGCTGGCCTGGGTGGGCTGGGCTCAGAGAGGAGGGGCCCTCACCCCAGGCAAGCAGAAGGGAGGGGGAGCTGTACCCTCTTACGGACCCTGGGGGCCACTAGAGCTGCACCAGCAAAACGGGGAAGCAGTGGGCGTGGCTTCCTGGAGGCAGGCCCATTCCCACCCTATCCATCTGGCATCTGCTTGGGGCGCCCAGCCCACACCCTGTTCGGCCCCACCCATCCTCCCAGGAAGGAGGACGTTGCCCCATTTCACAGACCGGAGACCAGGCTCAGAGAGGTGAGGGAACCTGCCCAAGGTGGCAGGGGTGCTTCCTCAGCCCCCCTTGCCAGGCCCCAAGGGGTGTCGATGGGGCTGCTGCTGAGCCCTGGTGGGAGCTGGGAGGGCAGCAGACCTGAGTTCACTGGGGTTCCCAGGGCCCCCTTCACAGAGCCTGGCCATCATCCGTAAAGTGATGGACAGCCAGCTCGTCCCGGGACTCGGGGCTGCCGGGGGGTTGGGAATCTGAACTCACCTGGATTCCAGCTCTGGGAGGAGCGAGAATTCAAGGGTCGTTAGACTCAGCCTGCAAATGCAGCTTGTAGCCGCTGCCTGTGGAAAGCCCTCCTGGACCCACCTGAAGGGACAAGCACACAGCCACCTTCCCAGCCACTGCCTCCAGGAAGCCAGGCCCACTGCTTCCCCGTTTGGCTGGTGCAGCTCTAGGGGTTCCCAGGGTCCGTGGGAGGTACAGCTCCCCCGACCTTCTGCTTGTCTGGGGTGAGGGCCCCTCCTGTCTGAACCCACCCCACCCAGGCCGCCTGCCACCGCCCCTTCTCTGACCCCTGTGGCTGGCTGGCCTTTCGATGTCGGATGTCGATCCCCCATGCTGCTCTAGGAGCTGGGGGCCAGGCTGACGCGGCCAGGCCTCCCTCACGTCCAGTTCCAACTGAGGGGACCTGGTTGCTCCAGGACATGTGACAGGGAGAGCTGAGCTAGTCAGAGAGTCCCGGAGGGCTTCCTGGAGGAGGCGAGGTTTGAGTGGAGATCCCGAATGACGAGTACGAGTTTGCCGGCCAAAGAGGTGAGAGCAGAGCCCAGGCCGGGGTTCCCTGATCTCCAGACTTGCAGAGACTCCGCTTCCAGACTTGCCCACCACCTGGGGCTCAAGGGGCGCCCAGCAGCCTCACCCCACAGGCCCTCCTTTGACCCAGGGTGACCTTGCCTGACCTGCACAGCCACCCTGGACGTAGGATCTGTCACAACTAGGACGTGGCTCGGGTGGTGTAGGGCCTGACTTCCTGAGGAACAGCAGCCTTGTATAGTTGATTGATGAGACCCCCCAGGGTGTGGCTCTGGGGCTCACTGGGCTCTGAGTTTATTGCCCTTGGGCAGAAAGTGCCCCGCCCCCTCTCATGATGGACAGCAGAGCCCCGAAGGCCCCGGCCCACCCCCACTGGGCTACCTTGTGATGGGCGAGCCTGGGTTCTCTACTGTCGGCTGGGGAACTGCTGTTTGAGGCGGGGGCCACAGAGACCCCACGTCAAGGGGCCCTTAGGCTCTGCCAACGCCGCGTCCCCCTGCCCAAACGAATGCCAGCCAACTGCGCGCGTCCACACACGCCATCCTGAGGTCAGTCCCCACACATGGGGTTCTTGCCCTGTTTACAACTGCTACTTAGCAAGGACAGGGGACAGGCCTGCTCTCAGCTGCCTCCCATAGGCCCCCATCCCTTCTCATTCTTCTGCCCCCAAAGCGCCTGCCCGCCTTCACTGCCCTACAGCATTTGAAGCCCGACCCCGGGATCCCGGCCTGACCGTGCCTGGCCCGACCCCGGGATCCCGGCCTGACCGTGCCTGGCCCGACCCCGGGATCCCGGCCTGACC